GAGGGAGAGTGGGTTGGAAGGGGGGAACCGATGACAAGGATCAACATGTGACCTCCTCCCTGGGGGACGGACAACAGAGGGGTGGGTGAGGGGAGACGTCAGACAGGGAAAGATATGACAAAATAATAATTTATAAATTTTCGGGGGTTCATGGGGGAGGGCAGAGCAGGGAGGGAAGGCATAGGGTGGGGACCTGATGCCGGGGGCTTGGGTGCAGAGCGGGTGCTTTGGGAATGATGAGGGCAATGAGTGTGCAAATGTGCACAGTTGATGTATGTATGGATTTTGATAGGAGTTACATGAGCCCCTAATAAAAATGAGTTTAAAAAGGAAGCTTAGAGGATGGAGGCATGTCACACTTCTGCTTCATTGGAAGTGGCATTGGGCTGCTGGGTTTGATCCTTGTTCCCCCTTGTGAAAACTGAGGAGGTCAGACACAGTCACCAGCCATCCAGAGGAGAGGCTTCCAAATGAGGATTCCACGACTGAGAAGCCACAATTATTCTTCAGTATCCTTTTTGGTCTGGAGTCCTGGTGGCATAGTGGTAAAGTGAGGATCTGCAATCCATAAGGTCAGCAGTTTGGAACCGCAAGCTTCACTGTGAGATAAATGTGAGGTGTTCTGTTCCTGGAAAGAGATTTTGGATCTTGTTTTGGTTTTCCTTATTTTTAATTAGGCATGTTTGTCAAGAGGATAAAGTACACATATATGTGTTGTTTTAGGAAAATGTTCACAATATAGGTTTATTGACAAAATAATACAAGGTTTGACTTGACTATTGTATGTGTATGTGTTTCTGTCTTGTATTCCCTCCAATGCTCACATCCTCTCATATGGACATTTATTTTCTTCTCAATTAGGGTCTGGACTGCCTCTCCCAGGAGACAGAGATGGTTTCCATGGAATGGAAGATTCCAGAAACTTTTGGCTGATGCAGAGTCATCAAGACACTGGCCCCACCCCTCCTGTTTGCCAAGTCTCCTTTCCTGAGACTTTGAGAGTCAGAGCTACAATTCTGGCTCTGACCACCAGAGTAAATGCGTGTGTGTGTGTGTGTGTATGCCCCACCCCATTCTCATTCCAGGTAACTATCAAAGCGTGGTATTTATCTTACATATACTACCTCTGAGAATGTCTATAGGTATTTCCTTTCAGTCTTTCCGTTACTTCGCCATAATTACAATAAGCCCATACAGCCCACCAAGAGGGTTTACAGCAATGTGTGGGAGGGGCGTCGCCATTCCGTGGAGCTCAGCTCAACTCTCTGAGATCCCGTGCAGCACGTGAGCTCTGTCCTGC